CATAGTCAGAAAACTTGAGAATGAAACACTAACACAGTATGAAAATAAGAAATACATAAAGTAGGATAAAAATAAGACAAAATAAAACTCCAAGTTTTAATCTTATTTTTTTTGAGACAGAGTCTTACTCGTCATCCTGGCTAGCTGTGGTATCATCACAGCTCACAGCAACCTCAAACTCTTGGGCTCAAACGATCCTCCTGCCTTAACCTCCCAAGTAGCTGGGACTACAGGCGCCCAGCACAATGCCCAGCTAGTTTTTCTATTTTTAGTAGACATGGGGTCTCACTCTTGCTCAGGTTAGTCCCAAATACCTGAATTTAAGCAATCTACGCACCTTGGCATCCCAGAGTGCTGGGATTACAGGTGTGAGCCACCACACTCAGCAGCCTAACTTTACTTTTTTAATGGCCTATTATAAAACCTCACTTCTATTATTTTTAATTTTATTTAAATTATTTAATGGCCTATTATAAAAAGACTATTAATATAATCCTCATTTTTATCAATTTAATTATTATTGAATAGATATATCCTAATTCAAAGTTCAAAATGGTCTAAAACGAAATGTCCCTACCACCCACTTCCCTTCTTAGGGACATTCAATGTCACTGAATTTCTGACGTGGTCTGTCAGACCAGACTGAAGTGTGGGGGTTTAATAAAGAAAATTATTCTACATAATACCAAAATTTCACACAGTCTGAAAACGTGGGTAGATCTTCGTTCTCTTTGCTTCGTGAGCAGTGAGGCTGACAGAGGACAGAGAGCTGCCCTCAACTCCCAGTCAGCTCCATCGCGCCCTGTGCTGTGCGTCTCTGCCTGCATCATAGATACCATCTTTGTCTCGTGAGCTCTTTGTTTTTTTTTGTTTGGTAGGACTCTTAAACCAGTAGGAGTTTTGGAAGGATCAATTAAAACTAAGTTAAGAGTCTGCACAACAATGTAATTAACTTGTAAAATATTAAGTCATAAAATGCTGCAGTGAACAAAGGAGTGAGGTTGTGCTCTAGACCTCTGCGCTGTGGGACTCCCAGCTTTATGTATGCTACCCTGAAAATGCTTCCTGACCAGGACTGAGCTATGCAATTGTGAGACACCACGTCAGACCTCACCACTGAGGTGAGAGCACCAGGGCCAGCCATACATGCATGACACATTAGTAGAGCTTAATCTTCTCAAGTTTTGGATAAAAGGCAGAATGAACAGTGGTTCTACCACTCCCTCTCATACCTCAATGGCCTGTCCTGCACCCTGCTGGGAGGTACGCTGTAGAGCTGGGAAGGCCTATCTATAGGTGCCAAGGAGCAAGCTCCCAGCTCTGAGCTGGACACACACAGGGCTGTTGGTTTCCAGGGTGGAACTTTTTCAAGGGCCGTATGTATATTAGGTGTATGTGTGTGTGTGTGGAGAGGGGTGTTAAAGCAGGGAGGCTTTCTGAAGACCTTCCCACATCTAAGCTAGGACACTGACGCTTCTAGCATTTTATGCCGTAGACTGAAGATGCACTGGCCGAACAAGCTCAGACCTCTGAACGTTCTGCATTTGTGCTGTGCAGCCTGCAGAGCCCACATCAGTCCCAGAAGTGCTTCATCAGATCCTGAGCACGTGCACACAACTCGTTTCCACTCCTTTTATTTTTCCAGTGCCAGAATTTATTCTTTTTCAACTTGGGTCTTTTTTTAGTCTCGCCATACACATTTTAGAATAATGCCTTTACTGCTTTTAAAACTGGATACATGCTTATTATATAGAAAACTATAGTAAAAAATCACCACTATTAACATAAGTGGGATATTAAAATTAGAATAATGCCTTTTAGAATTAAGAATAATGCCTTTTAGAATACTGCCTTTTAGAATATTATCTTAGAATAATGCCTTTACTGCTTTTAAAACTGGATACATGCTTATTACAAACTATAGTAAAAAATCACCACTATTAACATAAATGGGATATTAAAATAAATACATGCTTATTGAAGATAGTTTCCATGCAAAAGAAGATTCTTTTATAACTGAAAATGCTGAGTATAAAATTTCCTAATGAAAAGTTAATTTACATTTTATTTCAAATGCAAAACATGAAGTTGAGGGGAAAATAAAAAGAAATCCCTCAAGTGGCTTCTCTTAAATTTTAGAGGAGTATTTTCTCAGGATTCTAGTTGTACACAGGGCAGGGTGAGGGAAGGGTTTGAAGCCTGTTTCTTTCCGTGGCCACAGCCTTTGAAATCCCGATGACACCCCACTTTCCCCCTTCGGTTGTTAAGTCTTCTACTACTTTTTAATTTAGATCACCAGTTATTGAGGGAAAAGAAGACTCACTGGTTTCAGGGAACTGGAAGTCAGTTCAAATATTTTTATAACCTGATTTAGATAGTTTTGGAATAAGGTAGAAAAAAAGATAAATCAGAGAATGAGAAACAAAGAGGAGAAGGAGCTGGTCCGGACTGACAGTGGGAAGTTCTAGAGCAGCGATCCTCAGCCAGTGTGCGCAGGTGTGATTAATTTTAAAGATCATTAATTATTTTCCAAAGAAGTTCAAAGCATGGTGTGTTTTTTACTCTTTTTAAAAATCAACATAATTGGCTCGGCGCCTGTGGCTCAAGCGGCTAAGGCGCCAGCCACATACACCTAAGGTGGCGGGTTCGGATCCCCAGCCCAGGCCCGCCAAACAACAATGATGGCTGCAACCAAAAATGGCCAGGCGCCGTGGCAGGCGCCTGTAGTCCCAGCTACTTGGGAGGCTGAGGCAGGAGACTCGCTTGAGCCCAGGAGTTGGAGGTTGCTGTGAGCTGTGATGCCATGGCACTCTACCCAGGGGGATGGCTTGAGGCTCTGTCTCAAAAAAAAAAAAAAAATCAACATAATTTAAGTGCTCCATAGAAGTTCAACTACAGATTCAAGAGAGATGAGAAGGACGAGGAAGGCTGCTTTAGAGGAAGGCTGTTTTAGAGTGCCGCCTCAGAAAGGGAGGACGTCCCAGAGGCTGTCCAGGGGAAACAAAGGGAGTGTGCCATCAAGTAAGTGAAACAAAAGGGTGGGCAGGGTAGAAGTAAAAATGGCAAGCTGCTTCCCTAAATCAGAGGATGAAAATAAGACCACAGGAAAAAACCCAAGGAAGATGCCAACCCCTGGACCTCCTGGATGGAGAGGCAGGTGAAAGGCGAGTGAGGGGGTAGAGCATTAGAACCTCAGTCAGTCTCTCACTGTAGCTCAGGATTTTATACCTGTGATGAAACACATCGCACTTGGGCAGACAGCACCAGCAATCCTTAAGGCAACAGTACCACTGAAGAAAAGCCTAAGCAATAACTAGACCCTAAACTACGATGTCAACCGGGCAGCTGAAGAATGACCAAGTATGACGTTTGATTTTATGAGGGGAGAACCAGAAAATGTGTACCTTTTATAATAAAGTGATTCTTATCAGAACACTCAGAGATACTAAAATGGAAAATAAATAGTGTAGTAAGTACTCACAATAACATAATTAGGTTACTCCCAAACTTAAAATTAGTATGTGGAAAGAATACCTTCGTGTCATGTGGCTCAGTTTCAGAAGGCCGTCGTGGTGCTGCTTCTATTCTGGAATTCAGGACATCTGGATTATCATCTGCAAATCAGTTTGAACAGAATCACAAAGGAATAAAAGCTAAATGAAAAATGAAATGCACACTTCTATTTTAAGAAGGTTTGAACCTTCTTTCTGAGGCCTATGATTCAGTGAAGCCATAAGTTTTTCTAAAAGCATTTATAATGTTAGTTGATGTGAGCCCTGAACACTAACTGTTGGCCTTGGAAAAGTCAAAAATATAAAACAGAATAGAAAACCCTCAAATGCTCACGGGACATGGGCAAGGCAGCAGCTTGTCTGGAAGGGCTTCGTGCACTCCAAGTTTAACTTCAACTTCCTGAATAAGTCACCACCTCAGAGGTGCAGCATAGGGATGGGGACCACAGGCTTTGAAATCAGATTTACTTGGTGGGGTAAAGTCAAAATTTCTCAGAAACTTAATTCCTTTATTTAAAAAATGATGATAACAACTAACTCAGAAGGTATTGTGAAGATTCCATGGGAATGCACATATAATGTGCATGGGATAGCCCTAAACACAGCATAAACTTGATGAATTATTATAAAATAATCATGTACTTCCAACCAAAAAAAGGGGCAGCATTTATGTTCCCATTCCTTCTTATGTATTCACTCAGGATTTACTGAGTTTTGGTGGTGCCTGTGGCTCAAGGAGTAGGGTGCTGGCCCCACATACTGGAGGTGGCAGGTTCAAACCTGGCCCCAGGACAAAAACTGAAAAGAAAAAAAAAAGGGAATTACTGAGTTTCTACTGGTGTAAGGTATGGTCCCGACAACATCCAATATGGTAGACACTAGCCACACATGGCTACTGAAATGTATAATAATTAAAGTGAAATATAATTAAAAACTCAATCTTTCATTCATACTGACCACACAGTCAAGGGCTCAACAGCCACTGATGGCTGGGAGCTGCTCTGCTGGACCAAATAAATAAGGAACGTCCCACCACTGCAGGCACCCCCTGAAGAGACTGCCCGGCACATGAAAGACACAGGTCACCAGAGGCCCCTCCATCAACCTGTTTTGTTGGCTCTGCCGGGCGCCTGCTCATGACCTAAAGTGCAGAATTCAGTGGGGCACCTGGCTGTCTTCCAGGCCCATGGTACAGAGGGAGCCTGGGTTTGTATGAGTTCCAGACATTGATCTTCCACAGAAAACAATCCAGTTTCTAGAATGAGGTCCAGAGAAGACTCTGCAGGTATCATGCCTGTTTAGAAACCAATTAGCCCCAAGAGTTGTGAAGTAAATAGTTACTGCCCTGTAAGGTACTGGCTTACTCTCTGGGATGTGAACAACGTGATTTTCAAAGCTGTCGAAAACAGAAACACATATATTCCAAATACCCAGTTCATCGTCTGAAGAGGGATAATGCTTCTTTCTTTTTCTCTTAGGCATTTGCCTGTCTTCCTCTTCAACCTGGAATTAAGAATGGCTATATTAAAGGAAATAGAATCTGAACTGAAATCAACTGAAATGGGGACACACAGGATTAGCCTTTGGACTAAACTGATAGACAAATTTTTAAAAATCTAAAATAACACTCATGGCATCTAGATTTAGGCTAATTTTATAAGTTTGAGCCTTTTTTTATTTAAATGTAAATCCGCATAAAACATCCAGATTTGTTTCTGGGTATACTGTATTTCAACAATTTAAAAACACATGGTTTTAAGAAATTATCTCTTGGCCAGGCAAGGTGGCTTACACCTATAACCCTAGCACTCTGGGAGACTGAGGCAGGTGAACTGCTTGAGCTCAGGAGTTTGAGACCAGCATGAGCAAGAGCTAGACCCTAAAACTAGCTAGGTGCTGTGGTGCGCACCTGTAGTCCCAGCTACTTGGGAGGCTCAGGCAAGAGGATCACTTGAGACCCAAGAGTTTGAGGTTGCTATGAGCTATGATGCCACAGCACTCTACCCAGGGCAACAAAGTGACACTCTGAAAAAAAATAAAATTATTTCTATTTTATAGTCTCTCAAGTCAAGTTATATCTTACAGCTGATATAACTGGCGTGTTACAATTTAATTGGTGGTGTTTTTCTGCTTTCTTAGTGGCCCACTAAACATGGGCTTCTTGTGGCTGAACTAAGGCAGTACATGAGAAAGCATTCTGACTGCAGAACACAGACACTTTCAAACAACACTGGGACCTGCCAAACTACCTCGACATTACAAGGGCACAGACAGGAGAAAATGATGCACAGAACTCTTAATGTAGCCATTTAATTATTTCATATATATAGAAAAGTAAAGCCTAAAACTGTTCTTTGTGACAGGCGACTTGGGTTTAGCAGGAGACATACCTCTTTAGAATTCACTTCAGTCCCGTGACCTCTTAGAGCTTCTCTGTTGTCTTTTCTCCCACTGGGTATCTCTGAGTCGTAAATACAAAAAGAAAAAAAAAAAGTCTTTATTATTTTTCCAATCCAAAGCTTATTTCAGGTGTGTGGAGGGAAGGAAGCTGGGCTAGCGGTCCTCCCGAGCACAGCAGCAGATGGTCTGCCAGTCCCCAGGATGCCCCCAACACCACCGACAGTTATGTTCTATTTTTCTACTTCATATTTTAGATGAGGGAAATGTGGTTTATGGAGGGAAGTAACAGGTCCAGGGTCTTCTCAGTGGACTTTGCACAGCAGGCCGCATGGCCCTGTCCCCCAGTTCATGTGGCAAGACTGTATTAGGAAGTGTCAATGAAAACGGCGACAAACCACCCTAGTACTGAGATCAGCAAACGTTCACCAGGGTGACGATACCAAATACTGGAGGTGGTGTGGAGGGACAGCTTATACCAGTCGGGGTCGGGCGGGCCCAGTGTAAAGCAGAACTGCTTGTTAGTCACTGAGCAGTTCCACACCGAGAGTCAGGAGCAGGACGCTGGCACTGGGCAACAGGCACAAGAACACACACAGCAGAGCTCTCAGTAACTGGCCAGAGGGCCAGCAGCCCAAATACGTACCAACAGAAGAATCAAAAAATACTAACTGTGGCAGAGTCACACAACGGAATAGGAATTTCAAAGTAACTAGGAGGCAGATCAATAGGACCAAATCTCAGAATATATCATTGAGTGAGCAGCAGGGTGGGGACGGTTTGTGTAATGTGGGACCATCTACCTATAGCAGATGGGACATGCCACATGTTGCTCACAGAACTAGATGTGTCAAGCAGAATGGTGGTTCCCTTTGGAGTGCGATAAAAGGGGGACAGATGGGGACTAGGAAGGGGCAAATGGGGGCTTAATTACATCTGCAACATTGTTTAAAAAGACATGTGAAGCAAATATATTAAATTTTCAGATATGACAAAACTAAGGGATAGATCCATGGTGTTTACAATTATCACTGCTTTGCTTTTGTTTGAAATATGGTAGGATATGCTAAATAAATAGCTAACTATATACAGGAATGGAATCTCTGTCCTCATTTTTGGATGACGGACTCAACACAATTAGTGGCACCAACACAATTTCACCTTCTGTGAAAAAGAGAACCAGTGGCCTGGACCGGCAGCCTGCACCGGTTGTGCAGCCCCGCCCGACCCCAGGAGAAGACTCAGATGACGAGAAGCCCTTGCCCCCTCCTGAGACTGCCTGTCGGAGTCAACTGTGCACACGAGGGGAACCCCAGGGGACTGTGTATTTCCTGTTCACATTGCATCAAGCCCATTGGGAGGTTAATGGCAAAATTCCAGGAGCTGTTTAAGGAAAGGCACCACTGACACTCTGTGTGGCCTGGACAGAACCACCTGCCCTCCTGAGCCTCATCTTCCTCAGCTACAGACGTGATGCTGTTGCTACCCACTCCACTAGATTAAATGAATTAGACTGGAGAATTTGTAAAGTCATTAGCACAGCGCCTGGCATAGAGAAGGAACTCAGGGAATGGTAATTGTAATTACTATTAAAATCACTACTATAAAATACATTAACTCACCTCCTTTGTTAGGAGATTTGCTATGATCTTCTTCATCTGTTTTGGAGTCTGACTCTTCCACCTAAATAGACAACATAAGGGTTATTTATGGAGTCTCAGAAAAAGCTTAAAGGCAAAAACCAAACAAAAGGAATAAAAAGACCTGGCTCTTTATACAAATACCAAAGGAACTGGGTACATATTCTTCCTAATTGCACCCTAAAAGCTCAAGAGCACAGAGGATCTTCTTTTTGAGCTGTGTTTATTCTCCTTGTCTTTAAAACAGTGACGATGAAAACAGTAAGAAATAAGAGAAATGAAAATTTTCTGAATTCTATGAATTTTCTTCCTGATTAAAGAAACTTCATGACTTTTTTCTTTATTTAAAAACCCTATAGGATTTGGTCATAGGAGTTCTTGTTTGGCAAATCTTGTGAATTCTACTTTTTATTTTTTTAAAAATTAAACTGTTGGACAAGTCTCAATTTACCCTACAATACTCCAAGTCCCAGCTACAGACTCGTGCGCCCCTCTGGACAGGACAGCTGTCCTCAGCTGGGAAGAAGGAACGAGGACGGAGCACTCGCCACCTGGTTCTACGGCCACAGCCCCATTTAGAATCTTTTTAACTCTTTTATGATTGATTGTATTTAAAAATTTTTTCCTCCTTAGCAATGGAGGTCCCGTTATGTTGCATGGGCTCGAGAAATCCTCTCACTTCAGGTTCCTTTTTTTTAATTTTTATTTTTGCTTTCAGTTTCTGCTGGCTTTTACTTTATCTTAGTTTGAAGGGTTTTTTTTGTTTTTTGTTTTTTACTTCTTCCTCCTGTAGTGATTCTCTTGCCCCCCACGTAGCTGGAATAACAACGTCTGGCTGTTTTTTGTAGAGACGAGGTCTCACTCTGGCTCACTCTGCCTCATGCTGGTCTTCCGCTGGTCTCGAAGTCGGCTGAGGTCAGGCAATCCACCTGCCTCGGCCTCCCACACCGCTGGGACAACAGGCATGAGCCACCTTGCCCGGCCTCACTTCAGGTACCCGAGTAGGTGGGATGCAGGCAGCGCCACCACACCCAGTTACAATCTTCTTAATTCTTGGAGAGCAGGCTTCAATCACATCAAACAGGGCTTTTCTCTTCCCTCTTATTCAGCAGACTGTGTATGAGTTTCTAGCTACAAGAAAGGTGCTTTTGGTGAGGCTGGCACTCTGACCTACTGGTGCCTGCAGGGACCCTGATTCCTTGAGTCTAGCAGCACTGGAACGAACGCAGTTGACTGCAAATTTCTAAGCAATTTACAGAGTGTTCACTCCTGATATGATGTTATGTTTCCTACAAATACATTAAGATAGAAAATACAAACCAAAAACTCTTTTGAACACAAAAGGGATTATGAGAGGCGCATCTTGGAAAAAAATACATATATATGGCAATGATAGCTGAGTATCTTCAGAAGAGCTTTCTAAAAACATAAACTTAATTCTCAAACTAAAATCTATTTTGTCTACAGCACCAGGATGATTTAAGACATCCAAATCCAAATTTCAATCTCGCTACAATAATAAAAAGAGAGTTTGGAGTTTCTCATCAATGGACACAGGTGAACATGGAAAAGAAGCAGAAGATGCCGAGGGCATGCTGAGCTTAGAGGAGACCGAGGGCAGAGGATGCCGAGGGTGTGCTGAGCTCAGAGGAGGCCGAGGGCAGAGGATGCCGAGGGCGTGCTGAGCTCAGAGGAGGC